TTGGGTCCTGGGAGTGTGCACACATGCACACGCACACACGCAATTAATAAATGTTCAAAAAGAACTTTGGCACCAGGACAACTTTCACTCATTTTACTTGCTAACCCCTGACAGTTAATGTAGTTATCTCCAAGGAGCCAGTGGCAGCATATATCTTCAAAATGCCACTGAACATATCTTCTCTTTACTGATATGACTTCATACTAGCATGGACTGCAAGTTCAAGCCCACATAGGTCTGCACAGCTCCTACCTGCCCCACGCCCTTTGCCCTCCCTGCCCTCTGGAGATTCCTACCAAACTCCATCCTTGCATTGCTAGCTTGCTCATTAGTCTTATCGTTTATCCAATTACCGAGTGTTTTACTTATCTCTCTCACTAGACTGGGAGCCTCTCCAGGGCAGGCACCTGCTGTCTTTCTGTTTATTTCTATAAGCTGGCTCAACATTTGATACACAGCTGCGAGTGACCAGGACTGGTAAGAGTGTGTCAAGTTCATATTAGTAAAATTTCTCTAAAGTAAGAGTACAAAAATTCCTAGCTCTCCAAAGTATAAAGCATTCACTAGTATGACTTTTCTCCCACTAATGTTCAGCTTACACAATTTCATCCTGTTTTATTTTTAAATTTATTTTTCAGATTTTTAAGTTTTTATTAATCCAAGTTTACAGTGCATAATGACCGCACTCATCTTGCGGAGTTGGTACATGTACATAACACATTTCAATTCTTTTTACTTTCCCTTTTCCTCCTCTCCCTCCATCTCTTGGCCACCTTTCCATTTGCAAAAATAAAATCTTATCAATTATGAAAAAATAGAGCTTTTTGCAGGTTTACCTTGTATAGGGTTAGACTGTGACTAAGGGCTATAAAACCAATACTTAAGACTATAATGATACAAAATATAAAAAATTTAGGGAGACATGACATTTTAGCCCCTCTATATTTGTTTTGTTTTGTTTTAAATTCAAACTGGAAAACTGGCAGTCAAGGTGAATTCCAATTGGAAAAAAAGGTACAGAGGGGCTGGGGATTTAGCTCAGTGGCACAGAGCCTGCCTGGCAAGCACGAGGTCGTGGGTTCGATTCCCAGTACCAGAAAAAAAAAAAAGAACTTCAAGTATCCAGCAGAACAGACAATAACTACTCAACACTAACCATTCCCTTCTTTGTTATGATATTTTGTTATTAGCAGCCAAATTTAATGAAAATTGATAGACTACCTTAGGTCCTTTTAGGCTGTTGAAAATTTCTCTCTGCAGTGATATCGACTTAGTTTTTTTTTCCCTGTTTTTACTTTTATTAGTACATGTTTGCAATACATAATGATTACATTCACTATAGGGGATTGGTACACGCACATAGCACATTTCAGTTCCCTTCTTTAACCCACTCCCTCTACAGCCCTTTTATTTTTCCAACACCATATTATTTTATTTATAAGACCTTATAAAGTTAATCATCATGTATACAGATTAAAGTCCAAACTACTAGGTCAAAGAACACATAAAACATGTAAGACAGTCATCAACTTTGTTTTAGAAACCAACAAATTATGAAGCCAAAAAACAGGCTTTAAAGTCAAGATGCGTGGATGTCAGTCTTGGGTGCTTCGGGTTTTAGTTATATAATATAGGGCATCTATTCTGAGACTCATTTCCATTAAATGCGACACTCCAGAGACGATGATAATGATGATGGTGGGACCTCCTTCTGGAGTTGGAAGGATTGAGCAACGTCAGCTGAGATAATATGTAAGAAGAAGCTTAGTAAATTCTGAAGTATTACATTATTTTTTGTGCTTCTATTTCTTACAAGAGGAAAAAGAGTCATGAACCGGCTAAGTGGAATGAATAAGGCCATCCAGGATTAGGCAGTGAAAACAGAGGAAGCTCCACCTTATATACTCTGTCATTCACACAGTGGCTTTTAAAGGGAAGAGACTGATAAAAATATCCTCTCTACAGAAACCTGACTTACGCTAGCTATTTAAAGAAAGGAAGTGCCCAGTGCGGTGCCTGTTCTATGGTAAGTATTCCTTGTTACCTCTCTTATTACTCATTGTAACTAGTCAGTGATGGCTACATACAACTCCAACCCCTTCAGTCTGTTCTTTTCCTACAGACAAATTTCTGTGCAAATCCAGATTAAAGCCCTATTGTATGGAATCAAAATAAACATATATTGCATTAAATATTCCTCCTCTTGTTTAATACTGCAAGACCTAGAGACTGTGTGATACACTCATGGCCTTGCCAATGGATCCACAATTCTTATAATTTGTTGGTTCAAACAGCAGATAGACCTTGGTCTTAATTAAGTTCACTTTGTGGTTCTACAGTACGAACAAAATACCCAAGGCTAGACAATGTATAAAGTACAGAAGTTTCTTACAGTTCTGGAGGCTAGAGTCCAACATTCAGGCAACGGTAGAAGAGGTTCATTGTTTGGCATCTGCTTCCAAAATGGCACTGTGCACAGCAACCCTCACAAGGTAGAGGGGCAAAGGGTCAGACTCCTGTACCCTTTTATAAGGCACCTAGGGAGCAGTCAGTGGCCTGATCGCCTCTCAAAGGGCCCATCTCTTAGTACTAAGCCCACTGGTAACACCTGGGATTGAAACACTGAAATCCCAGCAGACACTTTTCAAAAGTTTGCTGACTTCATTCATGGAACCCACAGGCAGACCACCTTCAGTCAAATTTCCCTGTTCCCTGGAGTCTTGCTACCTCTTTATTGTGAGACACTTTATTGATTGTCTTCTCATGGTTCGGGTGTGAACTTACGATTTTAAGATAAGAGAGTGATGCTATTTGTCTTTGGAAAGCTCTCAATGACCATCACATTACTGGTTCACACTCTTTAAAGAGTGTCTATACTATACAGAGCTACGTCACAGAGCAGGACTCCTTTTGACTTAATGCATAGGTGGGCCACCTGGGGTCAAATTAAGACGAAGAATCAGCAGCTCTAGGGTGGCACAAGGAGGCTGTATATCTAACAGGCTCCCAAAGGGTATTGAGAACATGGCTCCAAGTCAACTCTATGAGCTGCAAGTTTAAAAGTAATCATGCTAATGCAGCATTGAGGTTGGGAATTTAACCCAGGTCTATCTAATTTGAAAGACAATTCTTTTCCACAATGTTGAAATGCAGAAATACAATGCTGAATAAAAAGTGAGAAACTGTACCTAAGCCAAATTATTTTGGTTAACTATTAACCATAATGATAAAATGTAAAAGAAGTACTTTTCTAGAACATAAAGAAGGAGGTACATTAAGCCAAAGAAAAATAAAAACTTTTTTTTGGAAAAGACAATGATAATGTAATAAGATAAAGAGACAAGGAGGATAAAATAAAATGAAACAAAGAAGTTAGATGAACCAGGTATGGTGGTGTATGCCTGTAATCCCAGCCCTTGGGAGGCTGAGGCAGGAGGATCGCTTCGAGTTTGAGGCCAGCCTGGGCTATATACCAAGTTCAAAGCCAGTCTGAACTACATAGCCAGACCCCGTCTCAAAAAACAAACAAACAAACAAACAGATGATAAATATTTATATAACTTTAAGTAGAACAGAAAAAGCCACTATCTTCCCCATTTCCAAAATGGTGACACTAAACACCATGTACATATTCACCAAGGTCCTCTGAGAATCCCAGTACCTTCAGGTGACAAAACCACGTGATGATCTGACTACAGAAGATGACACACAGAGACGCGGCCCACCTTGACTCAGTAGCAATCCAGAACACAATTCTAGAAAAAACCCAGCTCTTCCAGCAGCATAGGAAGCCCAGGGTCACAACAGCCTCAGGAGGCTGACCCCGAACAGCATGTGTGAAGTGGCTCTTACAGAACAGCTCACAACATAAAACGAGGGACTTTGTCTCCAGAGCATGATGCTTCTGGATCACACAAACCCAAACACGTACAGCCAGAGACACTTCCTCTTCATTCCGCACTGAAGTCAGTTTCAAAGCCCTGTGAAAGTGTACCCTCTATGTCCTTCAGTTGGACCACAGAAAACCATCCTAAGTAGCCCAAGCCACCGTTCATACCACAGTGCAGCACTATGGCTCTGATGTCAGCACAAACCAAGGTTTGTCCTCTATGTCATCAACTGCAGAAATTTAGGAAACACTACAAATACTTCTCCAACTTCCTCTGACATCCTACTATCTACCATTTTCAAGCAGACCTGCAGCCTTCCTAAAGGTATGGAACTAAGATCTCACAGACCCTGATGTCTTATGTCACTATCTGCTATGTAGACTCCAATGTCCTTTTATTGCTGATAGTTCTGATCTATATCTAAAGGACTTTCTTTGCATTTATTCTGCCTGAAATCATTAATTTTATGTATTATTTCTCTTATTAGAATGTAAGATCCTATAATCATTGTAGAGGTGATTTCTCTTTCATAGGATTGTGAATTCTTGAAGGGCTAAAGTCATCCTAGATTTTTAAAAACCGGTACCTAGCACAAGATATCCTGACAACAGTAGGCATTCAAAGCATGCTGAATGAAAGTTTGAATAAGCTGTAGTGCAGAGACCTGGTCAGCACGTAGGGTCATTTGTTCAGAAGAATAAGTTTTTGAATGAAATTTCCTTTAAACTATTTTTTATCAGTTTTTAAAATTCTGGCAGAGAAAAATTTAGGAAACAATGAGTTGAGGGCCTACTCATATTATTTCTACCCTTGCTAGTTCTTTCTAAACCAAATCAAAAGATATCAGTGAGTATCCATAAAACCCACCTATAAATGCTGGAGGGCACAGTTCTTAAACACCACACACTTGTATCCTCTTTGAGGAAGTTTCTCACTATGAGCAAGCACTCAGGCCTTGCTTTTTGTGCATGTTGAAATATAAAATATATATTACAGGGGCTGGGAATTTAGCTCAGCGGCAAAAGCGCCTGCCTGGCAAGCGCAAGGTCGTGAGTTCGGTTCCTGGTACCGGAGAAAAACCAAAAAAAAAAAAATATATATATTACATACTTGATCAAACTGGGGGTCTTCTCCACGCTGTAGAGATTTTGTCAATGGCTTTTCCTACAAAGAAAAAGAATATATATAAGAATAATTATTGAGGCTTTTAAAATTATAAAATAAATGTCATTATTGTTACAATTTTCTCATTTATTTCTCTCTTTACAGAATGTTTAGTCCTTTCTGCCCTGCCTCTTGGTAACCACTCTCCCCAGCCACTTCCCACCAATGGTGGGGATTGAACCCAGGGCCTTCACGGGATCTCACTAAGTCACTAAGTTGCTCAGGCTGGGCTTGAACTTGCAAGCTTCCTGCCTCAGCCTCCCAGGGTGCTGGGATTACAGGTGCGTGCCATCATGCCCAGCTTTGGTAACCATCTTCCTTGACCAAAACATAAAGAATCTGTTACTCAGGGAAATAAAAATTGAAACCACAATGAGATATTACCTCATATTTATTAAAATGACTTCTACAAAAAAGACAAAAGATAAGTAAGTGTTGGTGAGGATGGCAAAAGAAGAGAACCCTTTCATACTGTTGGTGAGGATGTAATCAGTGTAGCCATTAAGGAATTCAGTATAGAGGTACCTCAAGACACTAAAAAAGAGCTACTCGTGAGTATATATCCAAAGGAAATGAAAGTAGTGTGTTGAAGAGTATCTGCATACCAATCTTCGCTGAGGTATTGTTTAGAACAGACAAGATAAAGAATCAAAGCAAGTGTCTCACAATGGATGAATGGATAAAGGAACTGTAGTGTATACATGATGGCATATTAGCCTTAAAAAAGAAGCAAATACTGTCATCCATGTTGCATCAACATGGATGAACCTGGAGCTAAGTGAGAAGAGCCAGACACAGAAACATATTGAACAATCTCACTTGTATGTTGAATTTAAGAGACTCAAACTCAAGCTGATGTGGTGGTGCACATCTGTAATCTCAGCACTTGGGAGCCTGAGGCAGGAACATCGTGAGTTTGAAGTCAACCTGGAATATATAGTGAGACCCTGTCTCAAAACAAACAAACAAATGAACAGATAAACAAACAAATGGAAAGGCAGGCAGGTAGTAGAATGGTGGTTACCAGGGGTTCCTGGGGGAAGCGGGGAAAGGAAAAATGGGGAGATATTGGTCCAAGAGACAGGAATATAGGGTGTGGACAAAACCAGCTAGCAAAGGAGGCCTGACAAGATACCGGGCACATGTGCCAGAACAGCTGCCAAAACCTGCATGTGGGCTTCTCGCGAGAACTTGAGCAGGTTTTGACAGGATGACTTACCCAGGATGGCAGCGTGTGGCCATTAAGCGTTTGCTACCCTGCCTCTTTACAGTGGTCTACCTTACACTGTCAGGTGTATTTTTATTTTTCCCTTGGCCCAAACTTGCTCTGCAGAGCATGTTTTCTCCCTACTCTTCTGTTTTTTCCCCCTAACTTTAACAAATGGGAAACTTTGCAACTGTTTATACTTGCTTCATTCAATTCTTTGGAACAGAAAGGACCTAGAAATCACCTCTCATCACCTCCAGCATCCCAGAATCTGGTAACAAATGGATACAGAATTTTCAATAGACAGGAGGAATAAGTTCTAGAGATTTATTATATAGCACAGTGACTATAGTATGTGGTCTGAATGCATCCCTAAAATTTGTATGTTAAAACTTTAGCCTTAAGCTGATGATGAGAAGTAAAGCCTTGGGGGAATGATTAGACTACAAGGGCAGAAGCATTATGGATGGAATTAAGGCTGAGGTAGCTTGTTTGTCTCCCCCCCATGTGCAGAAGCAGCAAGAAAACACCACCTCTGAGGAAGAAAGCCCTCACTGGACATCAGAGCTGCTGGTACCTTAATCTTGGACTTCCCAATCTTTTGAACTATGAGCAATAAAGTTTTGTTTGTTACAAATTACCCAGTTTATGCTAATTTATTATAGCAGTCTGCATGGAATAAGACATTGTATTTGTCAGCTTCTCACTGCTGGGACAAAATACCTAACATCTGAAACTTAAGGAAGAGAGGTTTCTTTTGATTTACTGTCTCAGAGGATTTTGCTGTCCACGGTCAGCTGGCTCCAAGGCAGAAAGGGCACAGGAGAAGAACACGGTAGAGGAAAGCTATTCACATCAGGGTGGTGACAAAGCAGACCAGAGGCAGGGCACTAATGAGCTGACCCTCCTTAGGCATGCTCCAGTGACTCTCTTTTTCCAACTAGGTCCCACATTCAGCTTCAAACATCAGTGATTAATCCACTGACGAGTGTCGCACCCCAAGATTCAATCACCTCTCCAGGAACCCCTTCAGTCAAACTGACAAGGTTGACCAGACATGTTACTTACTTGAAAATTGCTAAGAAAGTAGACTTTTAAATGTTCTTATGAAACAGATACAGATACATACAGATAAGTGGGTGAACTGATAGACATGTTAATTAGCTGGATCTACTCATTGTACAAAGTGTACATGTATCAAAGTATCATACCGTATATCATACATAAATATGTGTGATATTTATTTGTAAATTAACTAAAGAATCTGATGCTATATAAGTTGTCCTGTGTTTTGAATTGGAAGTGCATAATAAAAACTATGGGATTAATTTAAAAATTTTTAGTGTTTATTTTGGGACTTGACAGGTAATAAAAAAGTTGAAAGTGATACACAATTCCAAGTCCTTAGATACAGAAACAAAATAAGGTCTATATATAAAACTGTTGCTGAGGGAAAACTTATTTGTCACACATTTACTAGGTGTAACTGGTGAATTTTTTGGCATGTCACTGGCCTTGTACCACATCTATCAGCCTACAGGAATAATCTTGGCATTGATAAAAGTCTATAGAAATAAGTCTCCCCAGTCATCACATCTTTGTCTATATTAGAAGTCCTTCACTAACCCTGCAATAGGGAATCTTGCTATGGAAGTGATATAAGGGAAATAATCTAAATCCCAACCTGCTAGATTATCTGTCAGATAATGCCGAGCTTGTGCTCCCTGAAATCAAAGAATGAATTTTTTTTTATTTTAAAGAGAATAATAAAAAACCCAATAGAATAAGAATTTCAAAACAACATGATAGGAAATTAACAAAGAGTAAATAAGATCCAAAAGGTACAACAGACATTGTGAAAGAGAAAGAAACTTCTCAAAAAGGAAAAAATAACTGGGGTGGGGGAAAGAAGAAAAGAAGGAATATAGATATAGATATATACACAGACACAATAGCTAAAATAATTGTACTATTAATTTCTATTAGTTCACTGAAAGGAATAGGTAGTGTTTATATTATTTGACCAATCTTGCATGCCTATATCTGGTAATCTCAATGAATGAATTTTAAGGAACAATGGAAGTTAAGAGTAGGAAAAATTTATTGAGAGAGAGAGATAGCTCCTGATAGACAGGAGGGGACCTGAAAGGGGGTTGCCAATGAATCTACTTCTCAAAGCAAGTTTTATAGAGCAAAATCACGCAGTGGGTACAAAACCACGAGGTGAGTATAATGTAGGTCAAAACTATGATCAACCAGGATTATAAGTATGGCTGCTTAGGTAATACTGATCCAAGGAGGAAGCATGTCACACATAGCAAGTGTACATGGAAAGAACACGGACTTTTTTAGGAAGGGATGGATCAGGAGGTCCTGTTCACCCACCTGGGTGATTGGTGTCTACGTAGACTTCACTGGACCAGGTGATCCCAATTATACTATCATCTTCAATTTATTGCTTATCCCTTGAGGAGGAGGCCTGGTCATTCCATCTTTATCTTGAGGCCTGACCCTCAACAGATGCGCCTCCAGATACATTTGCAATGTATTCTCGTCCTCTGCATTGACTCCCTCAAGGGCCTCGCCCTGTCTGACTGCCTATAATATTTCTACCTAACTTATCTGTCTATCATAGAAGCTGATTCTGATCCCAAATTTCACTTTGGATGAGAAACCATGCCAAAAACCAAACCAAACACAATTAAGTTTCACTTTGAGCAATATGGATGCCCTAGAAAACTTTTGCACTTAGCTGATCAACATACCTTCTAGCTGCCTCACTTCCACAAAAATGACATGTATCCAAGGAAGATGCAAGCCTCCTTCCCACCCATGTAGTCTTTGTTCTTGAAGCAACATACACAGTGGGCTCTGTCAGACACGCCAAGTTTAAATCAGAGCCTTTGTAATCATCAACTTGTCTCACTGTAGATGTCCCACATGTATATTCATCTAAACCAGTGGTGGTGAACCTACAGCACGCATGCCACAGCAGGCTGTCTGTATCCCTGAAAGCTCTAAAAGGTTCACCACTACTGAGAAGAGAATTTGTGCTCTTACTGGGCTGTAAGCCCTTCAAAAGTACGTTACTTTGGACATACTAGATGTGGAAGATCTAGAACTGACAAGTTCTCACGGAGTAGAAAAACAAGGAAAGAACAACAATTAAAGAAACAACAGATGCAGATGACTGGACAAGAAGACAAATTCAGCAATTGAAGTGGAAAACATTTCCTGCCTAAATAAAGGTTATAACATCACCTCCTGCAGTTCTTTGTAAAACCAGTTAAAATATGAAAGTGAAAATTAAAGAAGTGAAAATAGGTGGCCCCAGGTCCCACAAACATCCTGGCACAATCCCAGTGAGCATTCACACAGTGTTTTCTTTATTCATTACTCAGCGGTTACTGAGGGTTACACATGTGTCATGCTGGGTGGTACCTGCTGGGGTGGAATAATGAAGAACAAATGATCACTGCCCCTGGGGACAAAAACTAGAGCAAAAGTGGCCAGTGATCTCCTTTAAGCATTATCTCTATCTGTTCACATTAAAACTTCAGTTCAAGTATCACTTCCTTGGGAAAGCCTTTCATTGAGTTGTCCCCAACAGTGGGACCATCCACACCTGTCCTCTGAAACTACAAATTCTCACACACTTCTTTCACAGTGCTTATCAAAGTGCAAGGATGCACTACACTGTTAAATCATGCTGTACAACACTTTTGCTTGGGAATGATTTCCCAAGTACTGCTCCACTCCACAGAAAGCTCCACACACACGAACCTCCACCTGT